TGCTCAGATATATTAATCCCTCATGCACACTTTCCCTCAAAAAAAAAAAATTCTTTCTCTGTAGGTTTTTTTAGTCAGCTCCCTTCAGTCTCACTGGTGCTGCAGCAGGAGACTAATGTTTCTTCTGTTGTATTTCCAGTGCAGCATTGCCAGATTTTGTTTCAATTATCACAGAAATGTGTTTGATCACATGTAATCAGCTCCAGTGCCCTTGGCACAGCAGAGGCTCCTCCCATGGCACCCCACATGTCTCCAAACCCTTTTCCTGGTTCAGGGCTCTGGCTTGATCATCCTTCGAGTGAAATGTCTGGTTTCCCACAACAGTCCATGCCCCACACCTCCCTCAGCATTTACCCATCCTGTTCTTCAGGGTGTGCAACAGTCACTTCTGAACACTGAGGATTTATTCTCCCTCATCACTAATGAGCAGAGGCTCTCACCTGCTCTTCAGTTTTCCCTGTGTTAAACAGCACTGTCTTTCCTGTCTCTACATACTGTATTCTGTGTCTCTCTACCACTGCACCTTTCTTGACTGCAGCCTGAAAATCCCAGGGAACGTTTTTTCACCACTTGTTTTCCTCCTTGATATTGCTTGTGCTCCACCTTGATATCCTCTCCATATTTATTTTTGACTTTTCCAAGTCTTCGCATCCTTGAATAGGTTACCAAGAACCTGTTTCTCAACTTCACGCCTTTTTCTTCTTTGCGTTCATTTTCAGTCAGCTCTGATTGGACCTAACTCAACCTGTAACACATTAATAATGCTGAATTCTGCTAAGCCATCACAAGTGCTCCAGAACAGTCTTTAAAATGACAAAAAAGCTACCAGGACTCTTTAACACAGACACACAAGGAGGAAAAGGTAATAATGTAATCTTGGCCATTTTTTGCATTTTTTTTCAGTTCTTTATGTGAAACCAAGACTTCATTTTAATAAGGTACACCTGGGTGAGGAGTAAAGTTAAAGAGAAGCTAGGGAAAACTGGTTGGTTTTGGAGACAAAATGTCTTGCTAAAATTTCACACAAAGAACACAGTTATTTCCTGCCAGAGGATCTCAAAGCATTCCCAGGTTCAACCTTACATTCCTCCAGTTCTGCAGGGAGGCCATGATCACCTTCTCCTGCTTGTACTGCAAAGCAGCTATGGCCAGAAAGTCATTTGTTTCCATGAACAACTGGGTGAGCAGTGAAGAGGTTCAGGTGAGAAGCTGGACTCCCCCCTCCTCCCAGCTGCCCAGTGTGCTGTAATGGACCAGGCACTCCAGGGAAAGGTACTGCAGACTTTACGTGGTTAGTCCACTTTGTTTCTCCACTGCAGAAAGAAGCAAAGACCAGATAGGAATTCTGTGCCACAACACAATAAGCGTTGTGAAAGCAGGATGGTGAGAGATTCCCAAAGCTGACCTTCGTTTATCTAATTGCAGAACTGCAGAAACATTGATGCTGAGGCAGCTTGGGCTTGGGTGCAAGCAACAGAGGCAAGGTACAAATTCTTATCCCATGCTCTGCTGTGTGCTCACTGTAATTAGACGCAAATTGGCTTTTCCTCTACACCTGAAAATCACATCCTTGATTGTAGTGGAGATCCCAGCAATTCCCAGTGTGCTTATGAAGCAACACAGTGTAGCCTATATGCTGCTCATGCCTTGTGGCAAAGCCATAAATGAGCGCCTGGAGACTGCTCTTGGTGAAGCGTCAATACTGGAGCAGTATTTATCTTCCAAATTCTTTAATGCATCTATTCTGAGTTCCTGAAATTGTTTGGACTAACTTAATGACAAATGAGCAAGTATTTAAAAGAGCCTTCATATCTGCAAGAATAACCAGGAGCCAGATGTCAAACTGCTATCAGCCAAAGTCACAATTAAGTGCAACCCAGAGTTTCTATAGCAAGCACAATTAATTGCAGGCACAAAGCTATGACTGCAAACCAGCGGTCATTAAAAAAAAAAGAAGATTGAGGTGAGACACACTGTGCATTCAGGCTATTATTTAAATTAACAACAAATAGTAATCCTTTTTGCATTGCAGGATCTTTCACATTCGATCTTTAAAATCCCTTACAAACCGCAGTGGTCCTGTGTCATAATATTCAGTGAAAGGGAAAATGCTAAGACTCATGGGAAAGTTTAAAATCAAATTAACTTGTTTAGCCCTGATATCACACATTCTGTTCAAGCCAGATATTTTCCCAGGGAGGAGAACAGCCTTCTGACAAAATTAGAAGAGGGTATTTGTTTTACTGTTTCTTCTCTACTAATGATATTAATATTTCAAAAATTTTATTATTTGAATTCAAGGTACTGCCATAAAAGTAATCCATGGAGTGTAGGTTTTCTCGGGTCCCTGTGCTAGTGCAGCAGGTTTACAATGGTGCTGAGGAAGGTCTGCAGGACCACATTTCCTGAAGGAGCTGTGTCCTGGCTGGGCCCTCCAGTATGCCTTTCCAAAAGCAATTTCCCGTGTCCCCTGCAAGCAGTGACCAGAAATTGTCTTTCTCAAAGGCAAAATATTAAAAGGTCTGTGCACACAAGAAACAGAGGGTCTTTGTGCAGCTAGAGATGGAGGGATGGAAGAGGCTTTGCTTTTTATGGTGACTTATGAAAATATTTCACCAGCTATTGCTCCACCTCTTCATGGAAAATATTAGACTACAGGATCATGCTGGCCAGATTTCTCTGCCTGTCAGGCTTCAGGATCAGAAGCACAGTGGCAGAAGCCCAAGAAATGCTCACAGCAGAGCATACCTGCTTTCTTCTGGTCTCTCTACAGTCTGTCCTCTCACATCATGAATATCCTGCCAGGGGGGTGGGAAAAGGGTAGATGGAAAGGGTGAGGGAGCAGAAGATGCTGGGGATCAAACAAAGTGCAGGAGGAAGCAGGGAGCTCTTGCCCGTTACGTGACAGACAGATGCAGGCAAGTGAGCTCTTCAACCACTGACAGCAACCTGGCTGCATCCCCTGCCTGCACCCAGCACACTTCCCCTGCAAAGCACGGAGAATTATGGCTGTGCATTTCATCCCCATCCACGTTTTCTGTAGTCTGAGGCAGGCCAGCTCTCTGCCAGTGCAAACTAGAGTCAGTGCACTCTGGGCTGCGAGCTGAGTTGCGGGCTGGAGTATCATGACTGCTTCAGGCAGGTGAACCCCTGAGGTGCTCCAACACCATCACCCAAGCTGGTACTCAGCTTTATGCCTGTGTTCCGCGACCATTTTTTTTCCCATCTTCAATCCACTTCATTGTGATGCTTGGGTAGGAAAGGTTTCTCAGGGTCCCGCTTCTCTATGGGACAGAACATCTGCCCATAATGGGATCATTTTCAAAAAATCTTATTAAAAAAAAATCATACACATGCAATGTTTCTTATTTTGTCCATTACATCATCAGCCCCATCTGTTTTAGTGTTTCATGGGGTTGCACTGGAATTGATATTGTGGAGCAGAAACTGATGATCCCCCCTTTTTGCTAGTGAATCAGCAGAAGGAAAGAGTGAGATGAAAGAGCCTTTTCTTTGTGTAGGACTGCTACAAATTTTAGGCATGAATTTGTACCAAAACTATTCAGATCCTGTTGAACATTGGTATGGTGAAGGATGAATACAACTGAAACCTTATGACTCTTAATATCAAAATGTTTTAGATACTGCTTTTAGGACCACACCGGAAACAGGGTCTTGCTATGGCCCACATGTCATTACACTGCATTTCTTTCATAATGAGACGCAAAAATTTCTTTGCCAAGTTATAAGTAGTAGTTTACATAATCCCAGAATGCAACATGGGAAGGCTTTCAAAATAAAAATGAATAATAAGAGCAGCATTTATTGGTTTTTTCCCTTCTACATTGCCACTGAAAATTCTCATTGGTGTGGCTTTATATGAATAGTTCTCCAGAAGTAAATTACGAGCAAAATTCAAAGCCATCATAAATTAAATGTGCTTTTTTCCTGCTTTGGTGTACAAGACTTTCCATTAAGCTAGCCCCATATAATATACCTTGGATGTGTTCAAGAAAGCCCTGTAAATTATAGTAAGTATTTAAAATGGTAAGTAGACATTGAAAAAGGCCACATTAGGATTAATGAATGAAAGGGTTGATACTGAAAATGCACTTGTAAATAAATAACATGAAAAGTAAAGATGACACACTGTTAGGTTAGAGTTACAAGTGGGAGTATGATGATAAATCACACGACTGTTTGTCAGAGCTTCACATGTGGGTGCATGTATTCCTCAGTCCCTTTCTTCCCTTCCCCCCAAGCAAAACTTCTCCCTTTCCCTGCCCTACTCCCTGTGTCTCTGGGAGAGTGATCAAACTTGTCTGCTTTCAGCACTGACTTTTGGTGCTGCAGGTGTGCTGGGCCAAGTTCTCTGCCTGTTAGGGGCAAGGTACGCTGGTTGTGGCTTTGGCTGGACAAGGGCAGTGCTTCAGGCCTGCTCCATTTATTCTGATAATAAAGAGAATGATTCTGACAGTGGGTGTATGCCAGCTTGCAGCTGAGCCTGGATTGACTGCTGCAGTCCACAGGTGTGTCGGGAGCTTGGTTGTTTCATTCTCCTTGGCAAAAAGACATCTTGGGACAGGATCTGGTAGTGAGAGGCAAGAAGGGGAGAGCTAAGGACAATCTGGAATGTGGTGCAGGGAATGCAAGGCATGCAGCAGGTGGAGGAGAAAGCACCTTCCTTTCTCCCACCGCTCCACTAGTATTGGTCTTAATTTGTTGCAAGATGTGACACAGAGCAGCTCAGATTGTAGAAGCAGTGTCATGATCATGGTCTGAGGTTTGGTCACAGTGGAAAGTTTAATTGAAGCTCTCCGTCTTGGAAACGCTTTCCTCTCGGGCAAGATTTTTCCATGTTTTCATTGCACTAGTCATAAAGGCCATATATACCCATACAGATATTGGTGTCATCACATCTTGTATCTCCTATCATGTCATCATCTGTGGGAGCAGTTTTGTGCAGTCTGTTCTGGCTTAGAGCTGAAATAGCTCACAGACTGAGATCCAAAAGCACAGAGCAGAAATGAAAGGGGTGGGGAGATAGGGGCTGAGGGACCAGGAAACGTGTGTCAGTACTTGCAGATTGACTGGGCAAAGGGAAGCATCTGCCTGATGGCATTTGGGTTTCCATGTCTGAGAGAGCACGTGTAAGGTAAGTAGGTCTTTTGTAGCTGGGATTGGAAAGTCCATGGTAAGCTTACCTCTACTTAGAGATGACATGAAGTAGCTGCATGCAATCAAATTCTGCCTCCTAATGACATGGGGTAAGTCCAAAATTTGATGGCCTTAATGGAGCTATTCTGGATGCAGAGCAGTGCAAGACAGGATTTGGCTGTGGCATGTACAGTACATGAAGTGATGGGTGGGTAAGTTTTTATAACCTGATTTTACTTCCCTCCATAGTATTCAATTTTATCCACATAGGCCCATTGAGAAAACAAGGTTCTGCTCTCGGTGAAGTGTTTATGGGCCCATACAGCCAAAGGAATACCTTTTATGTGCCTGTGGCACTTTGAATATCTTTGAATGGGAAGGAATCTTTGTGGGCAAGAATAAATTCACATACTTTTTGGTCTGCCATGCAAGGAAGGGCAGAGCAGCAGTCAGTGCCACCTAAATCTTTGCCAGACCCCAGGGAAGGATTTAAGTTCAGGTTCCCTATTTGAGTAAGCACTAGGAACAAATGGTAACATAAAGGTTAGTAGAAGATTATAAATAGGATAATAAATGGAGAAGGAAGGATTATACTACCACATTAGAAATCATTTGAAGGGAAGGTAGAAACTCTCATGCTTTGCAATAATTTTTGAGTGCCCAGATTGATGGCAATCTATCTGTGTTATTTATTATAGAGATATATGTTTTGAAATAATTTTTTAAAAGAGCTTTTTTAAATTATTAGAGCTACAAATACAGCAGAGCACCAAAATTCTAATAGGCTGGAGTAGAATGTTAATAGCATAGATATAAATATTTGCTGTGGATATGTGTCTGAGTATCGCCTGATCAGCTGAGAAAGGAAAAGAACATGTTTCTCATGTGGCCAGTATTATCTAAGTAATTTGGCATATACTTTTGAATAGTCCTGATTAACTGTTTTATGAAAAACACTCTGTCAGATAAACTCACATAATTGGTAAAGGGCAAGAAACCACAGTCCATCCATAGAGTGACTGTGAGCAGAAAGAGGTAAATTAGCCCATCTGCTTTGAACTCTTCATTCAGCTCAATGCAGTTCATAAAACTGAAAAGTCAAATAGTATGTTATAAAAGGAGGGCTTAGGAGTTGAGATGGTGGAGAGTAGTAACAATCTCTGCACTTTATTGATCTTTATAACCAGAGTTTGCAAGTGCCTCTCAACTTTCAGTTCTGCACTCTGTGGCATAGATACAGTGACATTTAACCAGCAGACGCAAGAGGCAAATTATCAACATCTGCCCAATCCAAGCAGCATCTCACTCAGAGCTGGCCTGATTGAGCCCCTTCCCATGTGAAAAAAATAAATAAATCCAGTTTTCAAGTAAAGTAGTACTTTTGCAACCATGCCACTGCAGTTGAGTTGTGCAGATGTGATCTGTCATGTCCCCAGCTCCACATCATTTAATAACCAAGAATCTGAGGAGCTACATGACTTCCCTGTGTTTGTAAGTCAAATCTGTGGTGAAGCAAGGAACATTTCCCCTGCCCCTGGATCTGCATCCTTCCTCTTTAGATATAGTAGTTAGAAACTTGAGGGTGCAGGCTCTCTGTGAGTTAGTACGTATTCTCTGTCAAGGAAAATGCAACAGCAAAGGGTCTAATGTGTTTTTCATAGACAAACTAATGAGAGTTTTGAACTGCAGCTTCACTGCCAATGTTGCTCCATTTCAGCCATGCAAGGCTAATGTGGATGGTGACAACTGTGCTCTGATGGCATCCCGTCCTTCTGTTGTACAGTTATGCGTGTGGTGCACTTTCAAATGTGGCATCAGTGAGTGTTGCAGCAGTGGCAAAGTTAGCATAGGGTGGGCAATCAACAGCAGCAAATGAGAACAGGCAGAATTGAGACAATGAGCAAAACGGTCATGGGATATCCTAGGAGGAGGGTGCAAGCCATGACTGTGATTCTGCCACTGTTCATGATCATGAATAGAACAGGAAAGGGCAAAAGAAGTGCCTATGCTGATGCCACTGGAAGTATAGGAAGATGTGGACAACAGAAGCCCATGTTTACATTGATAAACATATCACAATGTCCCTGTCTGGGAAGAGATTGGAGCAGCAGAAGCCAAATGAGAAGGCAAGCAAGGGCAGCAATAGGAAAGACTCCAACTGCAGTAGAGAGAACATTGAAGATTTCCAAAGGACAATTTCCATTATGTAGACTTCCACACTCCTTTTGCCCTTAGTCTGGTTGAGAAATCCTGCAAGGAAGGTTTCATTACACTTGTCACATGTTTGGGCTGGGCATCCAGACTACTCACTGCTTTCAAAACACACCTGAAATGCGAGCAAGCCCTAGAGAACTGCCAGGTTGCACTCATAAGAAAGGAGTCTGATGAGCAGCCTTGGGTCTTGGGTCTCAGGGCATGGTTGCCTCACGGTGGGGAGGATGGCCACCTTCTGCTGCCTCTTTGTCTGAAATATTAGTCAGGAGACACTTGGAACTTTGGTTATGCTGGTAACATTTCAGTCATGTTGTAAGGCACTAAGCAATCTTCATGAAATTGAGCTCAGCTCTCTATCTGTGCTTTAGGAGAGTTTCATTATATTTTAAGGGTTTGGTTTTTCCTTTTTTCGAACCTGAGAGCTTTTTACCTGTTTCTGCCGCTCTCAGGTTTCAGCCTATGAGATTAGTTTAGCAATCAGGAAATTACTAGCATCAGGCTAATTTTAGTATTGTTCATGCACAGCAAAGTGACTTGCTACATAAGAAAAAACAACACACCACATTTGAGCAATATTTGTGCAATATGTCAGACATGTAGCAATATTCTCTGTGATTATCACCCCATACAATTTTCAAAGCACTGATGAATTGTGACAGATCCTCCTCTGAAATAACCCATCATAGTTTATGAAATTGGCGGAAGTATATCAGCTTACATCAGCTGAAGATCTGGGCTGCATTTCCAGCTTTCTGCTAATACATTTTTATGACGGAAGTGGGTACCTGAGATGAACTGCGAGTTAACCTCTCTAGGTGCACTTTATATTCTTCTTGTGAGAACCACTAGATATGTTTCAAACTCACTTAAACAAAGATTCAGCCACTGAGTATTGAAAATGAATAACATCTCTGGCAAAGTCTGGCATAAATATGGTCAAAATTTCCCCCATGTGTAGCAAGGATTAGGGAATCCAGGGGAAGCTACTGATCCTGAGCTGTCAAGCAAAGAAAATTTTAGAAATTATGAAAATTGAAAGCAGACTGTACTTGCTACTTCTCTCTCAGTACAAGCAACTTGGTTTCACCTAAACCACATCTCCAGTATGCACACAAGCATTTTTAATAGATATTTATAATATCAGTGAAATTGTAGTATCTATTAGTAACATGGTATATGTAATAACATGGTAACATCGATTACAATACTATCAGGGTAGTTTTAAACTTTACTATGAAAGAACACCCTTTTCTGTCTGTGAATAGTGGAGCTTGGGGAGTAGCAAATTGTGACTTAGCATAGTTCTGCTGACTGGCTAAAAAGATACATATCCCTTCTTCTTGTCATTTAGAGGTGAAGATGAGTTAATTCAGAAAAGGCCAAGTTACTGACACTTTTAATAATAAAGCAACTCTTCAAAATGGTGGTGTGAGGTGAACGATTTGTCTAACAATATGAAACCAGTCTAACTATATGAAAGAGGCAGGTCATGAGTTTCTTCCTCTATTAACATGTTCAGTAGTTACCATCCTTCAGGAGCTTTCCTAGTAATTCCTTTTTATTTATATTTGTGTCTTTTTTTTTTTTCACTAATCCATCAAAAATGCTTTATTTATTTATTTTAAAAGACCACACAAAGAAGTGATCCACCTTACACAAGTGTCTGGTGGGAAATAGTCATGTAAATTTTGATTCACTGAATGCAGGAAAGAAGGAGGCCACCACCTAAGAAATGGATGACAGAATCTGAAAGTGGTTCCAGCATTTTAAAAGCAATTATGGGGACTAGATTTATGCATGAAACCTGCTCTGTACATTAACTAAATTTGTGGGTTTAATCACTGGAAGGAGAAAAACAGCTATGAAATACTGAAAGTAACAGGTCATTGTAGAAATTCCCCCAAGGACATAATTTGTGTCGGTGTGTGTAGACAGGACTACGCATATGTGTTGCAGAAGTGACAAAGGGAAAGTCAGTGAACATCCTCCAAAAGCAAATACAGGATAATGCTGGAATATATGGTTTCCTGAATAAAGAAAATAAAGCTGTGACTATGTGAAGATTTCTTAGTATGGGAATGGCAAAGGAGTAATGCATTCTTCACTCCAATGGAAATTAATGGAGCATGCATTCCTCATTCTCAGTCTATTTGAGGCTGCAACAGGGGATATCACATCTGGCAAAACTACTTTGAGTCATGTTATACCACTTATAACATCATCTGGACCTTAGGAAACAGCTTTCTGAAAATAAGGAATGCTGTACAGTACCTGACATTAGCCCTGTTGAAAGGTACTGATAAGTTGCAGAGGCCTAAGAAATTAAGGGCCACATTTGCATGGAATTTCCCTGCACTTTATTACAGTCAGTTCCCTGGTTTTGTAATTTTAACTGCCCTTTTCCCTCAAGTGCCTTCCCCAGGGTGAGTAGGGGGTGCTCATTTGTGAAAGGGAACCAAATCAGTCAGAAAGGAGAGCATCTGGGACAACAATAACAGAGGAACACTGTGTACCCAGAAACATTACAAAATCTGGTATAAATTGAGAACATTCATTATTAATAGAAGTACTATTTTCAAACTATGTCGCACTTTCATCTCTGAGGGTTTCACATGCTATAGTCCTGATCCTGCGTTTGTATTCCTAACTCCTACAGTTAGCTTGATCAGATTTGATAGAATTGGTGGTGTGAAGAGGATGCACATGTTATACTTTGCTTTGCAAAGTATATTAAACTTATATTTTGCTTTGCAAAATTTGGCTTTAGACATAAACAGTTTCACT